CAGATGGGCTCTCATATGCCTTGTACAAATAAAAACCTTGGCGGGCATAAACACCCTGTAACTGCAGAGAGTAACTGCAAAGAAAAAAAGTCTATTTTTAAACAGCCTAATTGGGACAAGCATGTCACAAAACAAATTTTCCAACAAAAACAAATTTTTTTACAGCAATATTTATCGCGCGGGACTGATTTTAGTTTGCGCCTATTTCGTCCGTTTTAAATCGCGCGCCACAAAATTGGTATTATACGTCACGGAGTGGGCTGCTCTACGTCACGGAGTGACGTATTCCAGCCACTCTGCGCGCGTCAAAAGAGCGGTAGTTTCAAATGTGGAGAGGTTGTGACTCCGACTAAATTACTAGTGAAAAGACGGTGAGTGTGCAGGCTAGCTGGTGGTAGCTAATCATGTCGTATTACACCTGAGACATTCTCTGTGTCTGTTCCTTCTACTGAAAGTTCTTCCGATTTCTTCCACCGCAGTCTCAGGTGTAATACGACATGACTAAATTACATCCTGTGGCGTAAATATTGCTAAAAAAATTGTTTTTATTTGCGGAAGATTTGTTTTGGGGGTGGCATGCTTGTCCCAATTAGGCTGTTAAAACACTTTTTTTTCTTTGCAGTAACCCTTTAAGGGTCTATATCAGCTTGTATGGTGCTGTAACACTTTTGGATGCTGACGAACATCCTAAAAATAGTGTGTATCAACCTAGATACATTTACAAGAAACAATGTACGAGCAGCACACACTGTTTGCCAAAAATAATCAAAACCGTTTTTTTTTTACAGATTTTTTAAAGGGGTATTCACACGAGGGAGAAATCCCGGGGATTTCTCCCTCGTCTGAATAGCACTTTTTTTTGTTTACTGGTTTTTAATTTGCACCGAACCTGACCGCACTGACCGTAGTAACTTAATGAAACTTTCCTATTCTCGAATTTCGCTTTATTTTAAAAGTTATAGGCAAATCAAAATTACAAAAACAAGCAAAAAAAAATAACCTCCCTCATGACGTCCTTGGTTGCTTGGGTTGCTTGAGTGGCCGTGAACCAGAGGATGGCTGCCGCACTCCGTGTCGACGGCGCGAGAGGGCGCGGGATTGAACACCAATTCGGCATGACACTTCATAGGCCACAAACGACAGCAAACATGGAGTAAAGGTCAGTTCGGAATGGGAGCCACTTCGCGCTGCCGTACCGCGAAACGCTCGGAGCCGGTCGGATCCTCCAGTCCGTAAACGACCGCAGCGCCGCCGCGTCCATCCGGGACCTTTCCGTGTCCGGCGCTACGCGTCCGGCGTGCCGGCGGCGTCTGATCCCACTACTCTTTTCTAGTATGCGCCGCCTTTTTCCACCGCTTGGTGGCGGGTATGTCGACGGGTCATTCCTTGTTTCCGTACTTTATAAACTGCTTTTGTTTCTTTTCTGATCTCAAATACTGAACAAAATCTTTTATAAATAATTGAAACGGTTCGCGACCATGTATATTTTGTATTTCGCCTAAAAAGAAGCTTTTAGCGGCTCTGACCAGTAGTAAGCCCAGGACCAAAGACGTCACATTTCGCGCGCTTTCGGTACCGCGGGTCGCCCCCGTCGGTGGAGAAGGTTTCCGTGTCGTCCGGTTAAAATATGATGCACTGGTATTTAGTTACTCTCTCCGTGCCCGCTGGCTTGCCCGAACCCCAAGAGACGTCCCACGTAGCACCCAATGTCGTGCGAACATTCCCTAGGTGTTCTGAATGTTGAAGAAACGTTAAAACACCATTCAGAACGTTCTAGGAACGTTCGTATGTAAACATTCCCCACAAGGTAAGCTGCTCAACATTCTAGGAACTTTCGTTGGCGAACATTCGTATGCCTAATGTTCTCGGAACATTCGCCTTCGAATATTCATATGTGCAACATTCTTTGAACGTTCGCTTGCGAACATTCCAAAAATTTTCGCAGGTGAAGCCAACTTTATGGAGTCCTCACGCAACCTGTGGTTCGAAACACCATCCACTATATGCCACTTTGTGCCAAAAATATGCAAATTAAGCGGAGTTTCTGGAAACGTAGCATAAGAGATCAGTTTTATCTTATATGAATCTACCGAGGAATGTAATATAAGGTGTAGGAGAAAAACAATGGTTTTCAAAACTTCATTATAAACTTGGCACTCACTGCGTATGTAGAGGTGCAGTTTTGAATAGACCCAATTTTTCGCATGTGGGGTAGAATACTTTGAAAATAGTATATCCTGCAGCTGAGAGTGGGATGCTATGTGTATCTGTTTAAGCTCGGAGTGAGCAATCAATCGGTCATGTACGCAGCACATTTTGAATGAAAGAAGTTGACAAGTGACAGGTAAACTGTCCTTAGTACATGCTCGGGCTGGTGAGCTGGGAAAGCGGTAATCTTGTGCCTCCGCTCTCTAAAAATATCTTTTGATTAAAAAAATATCCATCGCCCTGTGAGCAGCTTTACCATCATCTATATATGTCGTGCGGCTGATTAGTGCTGTTTCCTAATCAAACCGTAATTGTAAAATCTTTGTCTCAGAAAATGATCCCTGAATGTAGGGATCAAGGATGGGCAGTATTTCAAATACAAGCATTTGAAATAAGTATTTCAAATACTTTGTGTAATTTGCATTTGTATTTAATTACAAATCGGGTAATGTATTTGACGTGTGTATTTAAATACTAAAACGTGGGTATTTTAAATACAATTGTAATTACATACAATTTTGTGGGCGAAAATACATTCCTCAAATTCACTGTCACTGTCCAGAGCAGGAAGAAAACTACGTTCTGCGCCGAATGCAGTGTCTCTCAATGAAGCACAAGCGTTTAGCGACTGATTACGGTGCTAGTTCAGGGCAAGAATAGTGACGAAATCGACGTTCACAGGCAGACTGGCTAAATAAGTGCCTGTGACAACTTGTGATGCTTTCCAGCCTGATTTCCGTCCATATTTTTGCCTGGAACATTCCAAATGCGCGGGTCGTCTAGATTTTCATAACTGGTGCGAGTTGCAACAATAAAAAAATCTCTAGCTAGTGCTGCGCGTCTTGGTCGTCTCGGTTCTTTATTGGTCTATACCAAAATGTAATCGACAAAAAAAGCTGCTTGAAGCTCTGTACTTTTTTCACCTATTACGTCCAAGCTGATTACGTTTTTTTTGTGATTATATTTCCATTACGTTACTAGAGCCTCGCACACTAACTCCCGAGTGTACGATGCAAAATTTAAATGAAATACCCAGAAACCTGTTGCAGGTGCCCTGAAGTCGCTGACGCAAATTGCGAGGAATGTATTTTCAAGAGTATTTGGAGGAGACCAAATACATTTGGTTGTATTTGTATCTTGTACTTAAATGCTTTTTTGAAAATGTAATTAATTTGTAATTGAATACATTTTTGACGAATTATTTTGTATTTGTATTTCAATACATATTTGCATGTATTTTGCCCATCCATGGTAGGGATGTACCTACGCACGTTCCGGGGAGATTGAAAGGATGTCCCTGCATAAATTTGCAACATTTCAAGAAAGTTGCAGAAGTTCTTTGGATGTTCTGAGAACGTTCTTTGAAACTTTTTAGGATATTTGAATGTTGATTGAATATCCTGGTAATGTTCTATGTCGTTCTCAGAACGTTTTAAGAATATCCCTTTGAAAACATTCCCCGAATGTATCGATAAGTGCCTGCGCCACATCCCAACGACGTCGATAGAATGTTCTTACGTAAATTTCCAACATTCCAAAAATGTTGTCTATGTTCTCTTGAACATTCCCGGAATGTTCTCAGAACGTTCTCCTGGTACGTGGGGTGGAAACAGCAAAAAAGGTAGACGCTTATATATGATTGCAGTATTTTACGTATTGAGAAAACAATGAAATAACCAATGAGTGCTGTCCTTAATTCATTCCTTAGCCACCACCATCCAAACCGAAGCCAACTGGCCAGCCTGCCGCGCATGCGCAACCGAGTCGAACCTCAATGCAAGGTTCGACGAACTTTCCACTAAAAGTTCGAAAAAGTCGAACCTGGTCGAACCCGAACCTCGGCCGGTTCGCGACACCCCTAGTTAAAAGTTCAAAGGTAACCGGTTCGACCCAGTCGAACCCCGAAAGTTCGACCTAAAAATCGGTTCAACAAAGGTTGGCGACACCCCTAGTAGCAAGTGAAGCCACCGGAAGTGCGATGATTGTCCCGAAAGTCAGGCGTGTGGTGGGCTTCCTTGTGCGTTCAGTCAATGTTTTGGTCCATGCTTTTCTGTCTTTGATTGGGTATAATACTCCCGTTCTGAATTAAATTCCGAGAACCAGGCATTGGAACGTGGGACATACACACACTTGATCAACTAGAATCTCAAAATTTTCACATTGAATGGCTTACCAGACTTCTCGGGTCCGGATGCGCTGTTACTCCGCAACAAGCAGGCTCTCTTGGGATGACAAGAAAAAATCCAGCGCCCTAAATGCTGTTCGATTCAGCACTCGAAGAGTTGAAAAGCCTGTCAAGCGCTTACTTCCAGGACAAGCCGCTTACTTCCGGTGGCTTCATACCTGTCTGCTCTAGCTCAATGTAGAGTTCCTGTATATAATAATAATAATAATAATAATTTTTATTTTTGCATCCGTATGGGTATGAGCTCGATATGCTCCCTCTCCGGGGGAGCGTATCGAGGAACTCTAGCTCAATGCGTCATCCAGCCCCTTCTAGTGGAGATCAGTGGAAAACTTGCCTTTTTCTGCGCTAAAACACAAGCTGCGGCCGCGGTAATGCAGGCGTCGTCGGGTGTAGCAGATTGCCGATCGTAGCAGATGACACTTTCGCCCTTGCGCCAACACCTAGAATAATCAAAGCCTGTGCACTAGAATTTTGATGTCATCACAGTGAGTTTTCGCAGCAGACGACACCGCAATTCCCCGTGGAGGTTGCTGAGAATATTTACAGCTATCACTGTAAAGCTTCTCACTTACAAATGCAAGAATCCCCTTACTAAAATACTGCCTTCATTTGTGAAATATTTATTGTACCCTAGAGGAAAATGAGTTTTTCTGGCAACCTACACCAGGATCTTTTTACAGAAATCCCGCCGTCACTTGTGAAGAATTTATTGTACCCTGGAGGGAAATGACCTGACAGAAAAATTAAAAAAAACAATGCTTGGACCAGACCACACACTTAATATTTTCAATGATAGAATGACAAAACAAATTCAAAACACAGGAGTACCAAAGAAAACAGTGGTATCACAGTAAAGCCAGAATAATCAATGCGATAAACCTCAGCTTCTGACACTTGCATATCAAGACAAAATGAGAGGCAGCTCTTAGTCAACCAAGAGCAGACCAGACATGATCGGTCCCGTAGATACGGTCTGTGCACTCGCATCCATCCCTGGGGCTCTGACTTCTGGACGGGACCTAAGTGGTCGGAGTCGCACCACCCTTAAAATACACGAACCAGACAAGTCCCCCACTGCCCGCACTGCCACCCTCTGTCCCACACACAAAAGGGGCCACTGGAGAGATGTGCTTTCGTCAGGAGCGAGCACCAGCTTCACAGGCGATCCATGTACTCGAGAGACCAGTACTGCTACACTCGGACACACATACACCACAGTGGCTGGTACGGAATGGACCACTTCTTGCTCGTCAAGGAGCATGCCAAAGGGTAGAACATCAGTCACCCTCAAACACTCCGACATAGTAAAAGACCCGTGTCCGTCACCTCCTGCTGCGATGTCCATGTCTTTCACATCACCAACGTCTGTTACAGCTGCCACTTCCGAGGACTCTCTGGATTCAGGAATACTCTCTACAGTGACATGTGAGTAGTCAGTCGTTTCTGCACCAGATGCAGACTTCATTAGCTCCTGGGATTGGGCTCGCTCCTCCAAGGCTCCATTGTCTGCAGTCACATGGACTTTTGTGTAGGTGTCTTCAGCAAAAGTTATGGAATCCTCTCTTCGTGGTTGGCAAGGTGTGCTGGTCAAGGTGGTAGGTTCGTCTGTCACTGTAGGAGTTCTGGAAGTTGGAGATGCGGTTGAACTAGAGCGGTCGTTTAGGTGGCCTTCGTCACACAGCATTCCTCCTGGTTCCTCCGAGACAATACTTTCAGTTACACTTACAAAATCTTCTGTGGTTGTGCTCTCATTTACCTCAGATACTGACACAGTCAGCATTTCTGGGTCCCAGTCCTTGGTGGCTTTAACATCAACATCTTTCTCACATGATGGTGTCTGTTCAGCTTGCTCCAAACAATCAGAGCGCATTGATTCAACTGTTTCTGAGACTGGATCAATGTCCCATATGGCTGAACCATCCCAAATACCTGCCTGCTCAGTTAGGTCAGTTTGATGAGAAACCTCGGCTGATGCTTCCAGGTCCTGCGGCTCCTCCGCAAGGCTGTCCAGAAACTTCTGAACATGGTCATGGCCTTCACCAGGTATAGCATCTGGTTTGCTATCGTGGGGCAGCGGTGGTACACCCAGTGGCATGACAGCTGTAGTCCCGCTGCCAGCGTCTGCTTTGGTCCACATGTTCAGGACACCAGCGTTTGTAAACTTAGACAAGCTCACAATCCTGCGGTCATATGGAGTCTCCCATTCATCTTCCTCATCGTCTGGAACCTTCTCTGCAATTTCTAGAGGGGTGTCCAAGGCACAATTCTTCAATTTGGCTAGAGCAGTTTGCTCGATGGTATTACCTTGCGGACAATCCGATGCAGTAGTCGAATCATCTGCTAAGGTAGGTCCAGGTTGTGTATCTGGTGGCAGGTCCTGAGCTACATCCGACCTTGTGGTAACCGTCGGTTCAGAATCTGATGCGCTTGAGTAGAAGATTCTATCGTCACCATTAGTCGAGTCATCATCGTCCTCGCTAGGAGGCCCAAATGCATCAGTGTGGCGAGTCCTGACATGGTTCGAGTGGTCTTCGTCGTCAGACTGCTCATTACTCACCTTTTCCTCTGGAATGTAGGGCATGCTGCTGGCACCAATTAGTTCCATAATATTCCACTCTGAGCATTCTGTTTCTCTAACAGCCAGAAACTCCACTTCCTGACCAATGCATAGCTGTGTAAAGCTGGTAGAAGCTGGGCTCAAGGTCTTTGTGTGAAAGCTAACCTCGGCATAGTCGCTGGAGCCACCAAATGTAGCGGCAAGGACCCCATTTTCCTTTCCCAAACTGATGATCCAGCCCCTGCCCTGAACAGGGGGACCATTGAACTGCTCAAAGGAGATGCTGTCCTGTGTAGGCACTTGGACACCTGTCTTGCAGTTTGTTTGTCCATCACAAGCTTTTTTTCCCAGGAAGTACAGCTGCCCATCCTGCAGCCTGAATCTGTTCTTTTGATTTAGGATTGCCTGGACAACTGTGCTGCTAGTAAAAGAGTGCTCGAAGCTCTCATCCAACAATGCAGACAGGACAGACACAAGAGGTGCATTGCCACTGTCAGTTTTGTTGAGTTCCACTTCCACAAGCAGTGCGATTTCCTCCACCTGATCGGTGGGCAATGCTCCAGAGGACAACACAATCAAATGTTCCTCGTTAAGAACCAAAAACTCATCTCTTTTATGAAAAAACAGCAGCATTGCTGCTGTGTCAGGAACAAGGCATTGGAACATCCTCTCAATTTTGTGCCGCATCATGGTGTAGAACGTTGCTATGTCAACCATGTTACCCGTAGCCAACTTGGTGCAAACTGCAGCCAAGGCCTCCTCCAGGACAAAGAGCAGTGAGGCTTGGTGCTTGAGAGGCCACGATAGGATGACATTGTCTTTGGCTATCTTGAACATGTCAAAGCAGCTGCTGACCAGGGAGCACAATTTTTCAGTTTTGCTTTTTCCTTGATGCTTGTTCAGCTCTTGAGTGGACTGCTCCTTAATGACATTAAGGTGGCCCAGCACAGTGGAGAAGGGCTTTGGACTCTTCACCAGCAAGTCTGCAGCCACGATTCCAATCACTTGGCAAAAGGACTTTGGCTTGCTAGAAAAGGGGCACTCCTTGGGTTCGGTACCATCCTCTTCCTCCTCACCATCAGACTGAGCAAGCCAGACCACAGCGACAGTCCGCAGTACAAAGAAGAAATCCCTGTATTTGTCAAAGAAGTCCAAGAACTTGTCTTGAGGGTAGATTTCTTCGAAGTAGTTCTTAACAAAAGGGGATGCTTTGGACAGGTTCTCCTGTAGTACCGCCACTGGTATGGGGTACGTGCTCAGTCTGAGAGTCTTGATGAGGTCTACAAAAAACTCCAGGGCAGAGGCCTCGCACAGGTTCTCAGATGCCTGGTGGTAATCTTGTTCCTCTTCATCACTCAAGTCTCTTCTTAGGCTCCCAGGACCCATGGACAAGTAGATATTCTTGTTCTTTGAAAGGGCAAACTTGCTCGGAGGTTTCAAAAGGAAGTTCTTCAGAGTCTCCTTGTTATAGGCCTTGCACAGGAAACCTTGCACTTTTGGTGGAGTAAGTGGCAGGAACTCCCAGAGGATCTCTGGAGAGACAGCCTTGATCTGGTGGGACTGCAGGAGCTGCATCAAGGCCGCAAAAACTTCAAGGGCCAGCACGGATGGCTGCTTCTTTGCCATTGTCTCCGAGCCAGACTCCACCTCAGCAGCCAAGCAGACATTTCCATTCTTGCTGACCCTGAAGTGATTCTGGTAATGCTGGAAGAAACTAGCAATACTCTTCCCATAGTGTTCTAGCAGATATGCGCTCAAACGACGGTGAAGGCAAGTTGAAATTGACAACAAGGTGTCTGGTTTAACGACCCGCACACCATAGCTACCTGCCAAGTTCAATAGGTCTAAAAAGAACTTTTCCAACTGCTTCTCCAGAGGAAGGCTCCTTGTGCGCCATGCCTCTCCATTTTCTTCACTGTCTCCAGAGCCGGGGGAGATGTCTTCAGTTGGTGCCTTGTCACTGTTGGCAGCTGGTGCCGTCTTGTTCCTTTCCCCAAATGAGAGTTCCACTGCCCCCGAGCTGTCGATGCTGAAGTGGGTTGCATGGTCTAGGAAAAATCTGTCGAACTGCCGGTAGGGGTAGAAGTGCTGGAAGTATGCAAACACAAGAAGTGGAGCATCAGCCAGGCACTTCCGTAGCTGGTCTACGTGGGCTACTACACCTCGCTGCATGTGGTCTTTGACAATGTCCTCAAAAAACTGTATGGCAGCCAGCCTGTCTGCCATAGAACCGTCAGCACTGGAACGGGTCTCCCATGGAGTCTCGCAGTGCAGCTCCCCTTGATGGCTCCTCGCCAATGGTAAGGCAGGGAATTCATTGTCCCTCGATGACTGTCCAGGACTTCTGTTACCCTGGTGACTCGTCGTCTGACCGTTGTTCGTTGTGACACAAAACGAGGATTTGTGTGCGTTGAAGAAGTCCAAGAAGTTGACCTCATTATAGGTTTTCTTTAGAAAACGTTGCACATTGCTGGGGGCCTCACAGAGCTGAGCAAACAACGAGTCTATGCTGCAAGTCTGCAGCTCGATGCCAGGACTATTCAACACCTGCCGGTAAAACTCGACTGCATCAGCCTCATCCTTGGAAACTTCACTGTCGAGCATGCCGTTGTCCGAGTGCCAGAAGCTTCCGAAGTCACACTCGTTCAGGAGAGCCGCGGGTGGCTCGCTCACAAGGTACACATTGCCGGAGAGCGAGACCCCAAATTCCTCGGGATGGTTCTGAAAAAAGCGCTTCATTTCTCGTCCAGGGTAGTTCAGGTTGAACAGGGACTGCACACCACTTGATGCCTCACCAAGGAACTTCCTCAGACCCATCACTGGAACAGCTGAGTGGTGAAAGGCCTTCATGGATCTGAGCTTCTCCTTGAAGAATTGCACAGACATCTTCTCCAGGTTGTCCGTGCCATGCATCTGGACAATATCAGACGTGCGGAAGACACGCTCGCTGCCATCCAGCTGAAAATTCTCAGGGTAGCGCCTGAGAAACTCTGCCAGGTCTCCATTGTAGGCACTTTTGATGTGCCTCCTTATGCCAGCTGTGGCACTTGTCAAGTAAATGTTCAGCTCACTGATGCTGACCGGTGACAGCTCCGACTGCTTCTCGCTCTCAATGGCGTCAGTGAAGTATGCCACGCAGGCTCTCTCGATGCTGCTCATTGTGGCCAGCAGGTGATCAGCACCTGCAGTAAGAAAAGTAACTCAGCATCATTGATGAAGTGTTCATTCCCCTCAACCCATTCCAAAAACGGAAAAATAAATAATGCACCTCAACTGAACCCTAGTATCAGTGATCATAATAAAAATAATAATTAATCATAATTTTTATTTGCACAAGAAAGTTTTGCCTACTCAGCAGCATGTAAGGCTAACAGAAAGGCTGGTACCTTTATGAAAGTGTGCCTGCTAGTCCACTACTGAGTGGGTGCAAACAGTAAACAACAATAGTGGTAAGTACAATACAAGAATAAGAGGTAAACATATATAAGGAACAATGAATTATTGGTTCATGAAGGGAAAGACAAGACAAACCGCTGTGTCCCATCCCACCCCACACAAACCACAGCGGAGGCCCCAGCCATGAGCCCAATACTGCAAGCACGGCCTCTGTGCATGGCACATCCCGCACAGCTGAGTCCGCGACCGCGGCCCCCACTGCACCCCGCCCCAGGGCGACACGGAGCACGAGTGGACACCTTTAGATGAACCCTTTACGGGCTGTCTCTCATGAAGAGAGATGGTGGCCATATAGTCTGCATAGCTCGTAGGATTCCTCCCTGCCTCATAGAAGATGCTTGCACTCCTTCAGCGGAACAGAGAGATGCTCTCTGATGCCTGCAGGAATCACAGTCATGCCATGCCTTACAGTCCTGGCATGTAGCGGCTCAGGCTGGCCAGTACGCCTACTTACACGCACTGCCGTTGACAAGTATGACCCAGTCAGTGAACCGTCCAGTGCGCGGCAAACCAGGCGCATGCGAGTCATGCTATGATGGTGTTCTAGTAGCCACCACCCCGCACATTTAAGTTGGATAATCTGCATCCGTGAATCCCGAAGCGCAGACGCCAAGCGTCGGGGAACCACGCCTCTGTACACTGTCAATTCGATCCACCGGATGACGTTGAGACGGGGCCATACAGCGCTACGATACTTACTCCAGCAATGCGTACAAGGTGCAGAAGGCTGAAGGTCCACATGACCTGGACACTTCAGGAACAAATCCCATGGTTTGCTGAGCCTTTGCTACAACACTGGCTATGTGCACAGCAAAGTCCAATGTTTATATGAATGTAACCCCTAAGATGGTCAAAGAATCATAGGTGGCTAGGGGCACATTGAGCAAATAGTAGCCAGGCTTATCCTACCTGCAAGCACCGCTAAGGTGCATCACGGAATTTTTTGCAAGGCTAAGCTGTAGGCAGTTGTCAGTCAGTGGCCAGCACTTTATGTGTTGATGTAGTCCTGGAGAAGGCGCCAGGTGTTGGGTGAAGTAGGTGTTAACAGTGTCGAGGTCTCGTCTGCGTACTGGACGAGAGGAAACCCATTGTCCTGGCTTTTCTTTACCTTTGTGAATAGGGGTGACCAAGGCGTGTCGCCAGGTGGCAGGAACAGCTCCCTCATCGAAAAGACTCTGACGCTCACAGGTGAGAGAGGGCAAAGTGTACGGGTGTATCTCGAAACAACCCATTCTTATCTGAACCCTTCTCGTTTGAACCCATTCGCAAAACGCCCTTTTCGTTTTAACCTTTCGCGTTTCGACCCTTTCTTATTTATACCCTCTCATATGAACCCATTCTCATTTGAACCCTTCTCGTCTGAACCCTTTCGCAAAACGCCCTTCGCGTTCTAACCTTTCGCGTTTCGACCCTTTCTCATTTGAACCCGTTGTCATTTGAACACTGTAGTGAGGTATAGAAAGAAGGAAAAACAGTTGAGGATGAAGGTTGAAGATGAAGCAAAGCGGCACCATCTCTTGCATAGCACATGAAACAATTTTCCTCATGCCTGCGTGCCACCCCGAGTCTGTTGACGTAGCTACGTGGTCACATGGTGACGTGGTTTCAAAAGTGCTAGCGCAGATTCGGTACTTCATTTCTCTTCTGTCACTGTATGTCGTTAAGATGTCGTCGTGTGGAGTGGATGGATCATTGTGCTAGTCGTGTGTTATTGCTTGTAATGGCCAATTCGGGTGGTCATTTTCCCTGAAAAAAAGTTTTCCCATATCTTCGGCAAGGGCGTTCGCGTGGTCAAAGGCTGGCGGGTGCAAGCTTTTCGGGCAGCAGAAGTTTTCCCGAGCTCCAAGAGGTTGGGCAGCTTGTCTGCCAGACTGTATCTGGTATCGTCACATCCGAATCGGGATAGGGAACCAAACGGAACAATGCTCGCTGAGGCGGCAAATAGCGGGTTCGAGTGGCAAACAAAGCCATCGAGACAGGCGCCCTTTTGCGCTCTGAGACAAGATAGCAAAAACAACGAAGAGAAAGATAATTTATGTTTCAAAGAAAGTCAACATTTTTGGAAGAATTTATCCAGCCTGAGCAAAGTATGTTTGCTCTGAGACACGGGCTGCATCATACATCACTTTATTTTACAGCTCTGTAATAACAAGTTATTACACCGCTGAAAAAAAAAGTATGCATAGTGATGCAGTTTGAAACTTGAACACGCATTACAATTTCAAGGAGGGTGTGCAATGAGAAGACTGAGGATTCCAAAAAAGGTACTAGAGAGTTTTAGTAGATCGTTCCGATACCCCCAATAGCCCCAATAACGATACTATGCATGCGCAAGTGAGGCGGTGGCGGAGTATCGGGTATCGTTATCGGAGTCATGGGAACGATCTACTAAAACTCTCCACTAACAGTAAACAGAATATGGAAAGCGATGCTGGCAAGCCTCCGTGGCAACAGTTAATCGATTTTTATTTGAAATTTATTGAAATTTGACGCGCGTGCGGGCAGCACCACACTGATTTATACATCTGCCCTTTCATTGATTTTATATTTTAATATTCTGTCAGCTGTAGGATGACCACCCGTCCCGCGACTCGCGGGACTGTCCCGCATTGAAGGCTCGTGTCCCGCGTCCCGCGAGAAATTCCCAAATCTTCAAAATGTCCCGCAGTTCATACTGTAGTAAAATTCACTCAGCAACTCATGGTGCTGCCGAACAACGGGGAAGTACGGAGGTTACCGGTAATCTATCCAAGCATTGCGGGAAGCGATCATCGCTCTGCAGGAGGCCCGACGAGCATTCGTCGTTGTGCCTCTCCCCTTAGTGGCAAAATATTGTAAAAGAAAATTGCTTGTTTATTGCCATTATTTTTATATCGCTGTTTCAACGCAAAAAGGTTGCTGTGGATTTCTTTTTTTTTTTTTTGTGAAGACAGCCACACAAGGCAAAAAGAAAAAGAACATATTGTTAAAAATTTGCGTAGGACCATTTTCATAAAAGTAAGCGTAAACAAGAAACAATAACCCGAAAAAGATATACTGTTTCTTAATTTCATTTGATGCATTGAGTGCTGCTGGAGTTGATTTTTATGCTTTCAAATTCGACACATTTAGTAACATATTTGGCATAAAAAGAAGATATATCACTGGGAGTGAAAATTATTTTAGCTTAATTGCTGCAATACAATTTTCAGGTGTACAAACAGCATAGAATATTAAATGTGCTAACAGGGCCTCAGTTCGTGGTGTGCGTGTTCATAAATCTCCTCTATAAACCCCCCCCCCTGCCCCCCCCCCCCCCCTTGCCCCGCGTGTCCCGCATTTCGCTAGTGGGAAGGTGGTCACCCTAGTCAGCTGTGCGGACTGTGGTAATGCCAATATTTTAAAAAATTTTGTGAAGCCGCTTCTGTTTACACACATCTCAAAGAGTCATAATTTATGTTGTTGGCGTATGCAGCGTGCTCATGGTACCATAGAATGATCGAAGAAGAAGTTAACAGAGCTCACTCGCGACCCAGTCAAATAAAAACGCCAGTTCATTGTGCTTTGCATTCGGGTGGAGAGGGTCACGTGATGCGCTGCTGGCGCGTTTTTGATCGCCGGAGCCACAGACAAGGGCTCGAAGGCAATTAATTACCCGAATTCGCCATAAATACCGCAGAAAGATTGCGAGATCATGATGTTGGATTAATTTGGATTCGAAATGAGAGAGGTTAAAATGAGAAAAGTTTTTCTGACAGTGGTCAAAACCAGAAAGTATGTTTTGAGAAAATTTGAAACGAGAAAGGTTAAAATGAGAAAAGTCTTTTTGAGAAGGGTCAAAACCCGAAAGTTTGTTTTGAGAACGGTTTAAATGAGAAAGGGAGAAACGCAAAAGTTGTTTTGCGCTGGGTTGAAATGAGAAGGTAAAAACGAGGAGGTAGAAATGCGAACGGGTTCAAATGAGAACCACTCAAGTGTACTGTGTGATCGTCCTGAAAAAGGCAGGTGCCACACCATTTAGGCCAGGGCGATGCAAAGGCTTGATCTTGGACAAAGCAGTGCACACTGCCTCCGCTGAAAATGTGATCTCCAGGCTTGGTGTTGGTGCGAAAGCAGCAGATTGTGCAGACCCCCGTGGTTCGTCATTGATGTAGACAGACGAGAAGCGGTCTGCAAAAAGTGCTGCAATTTCATCAGGGGCATCAATCGTTCTGCAGTTGGCACTGAAACTGAGACTTTGGCCAGGTGTTCGGAGGCGGCTCACGTAAGACCAGAATACCTTAGGGTCGTCCTTCGCCTTTTTGGCTATCCTGGAAGTGTAGCACTGGTGTGCAACACGTACGGTAGCTTTCAGAGTGCGTTGATGGTCTTTTGCAGCACATAATGTAGTAAGACAGTTAGAGTGGGAGGCTTTCTTGAATAGCCCCCTCTTTATTCTTGCTGCCTTCATTATGTCAATGTGAACCACAGGTAGAATTTCCGTCTTGAGGAGCGAGTGCAGGAGGGCATGTATTTGTTCTGAATTGCACCCACCAGATCGCACCACAAGTAGAAATTGGCAAGAGAGTCCTCTACAGTCGTCGTTATGCACCAAAATGCTAGGTGCCCCCTGCGTGGCAACACCACGGCGTACGTCACTTTGATCGCCAGAAGATCACTACCAGGTAGTCCCTCAGAAGTCTCATGGGAAACTATACAAGCCGGGTCTGCCACAAGGGGAAGATCTAGGAAGCTGAAAGTTCCGACC